TTTTAAATTAAGAAATTGAGTAATGTATAGTACTAAAATTAGAATTATAATCTATAGTTTGATACTAAACTTACTGACATAAATTCATGAAATAGTAGTTCAATGAAATTTTGAATGTGAGTCAACAAACGAGATGACATGGCCTTTCACCCGTGACCTGTCTCAAAAGGGTTAAGTGGGAGGTAGCTCAAGCCTTGTAGCATACAAATCTAATAGGTAGATGCAGGAAGGTATCAAATTATTTTATGTGCATAGGTGTCTATTGAAAATACATTTCTGATAAAATATCTTACCACCTCTCACAAAAAGCTTTTTTACTTGCACTGCCCTCTATCAGCACACATTTTCGCTTGTCACTAGCCTTGCTATTCCCACTTATTACTGTGTACTAACATGCAAATGATCATGCAACAAACCTCTACCAATAGGAGTGCAACACTACCCCTATCATAACTAGCACCCTCTAATTATGTACGTGTTAATCACTTCTTGATTGGCAGTCCAACTGATTAGACATGTTTTTCGTTTGTAGTTTAATTAACCCATCCACATATTTTTACTTTTGTAAATTTCAACTTCAGTTGACTTATTTTCTGTTTTCATTCTGTTTCTTGGAGAGTTCCAGTTTATTTCATTTTATCTTCTCTCATCTTTCAATTTTGGGAATTGTACACTTCCAGTTTCAGTGGTCACAACTATGTCTACTCTTACTGTGGCAGCAGGGATAGTGACCATGTCCAATGGGTCGAAACCATGATTCTTGGCCCGTGAAGTGATCTCTGGTCTGTCAGGAGTTGATCAATCTTATGCAACAAGCAAAACACACTGATGATTGTCCTAACAACTTCCCCTCCTCCTGAATATGCCTCTTAGTCATGTGTCATTTCAGGGGACTTGCTCAAACCTCTTTTCCCCCATTTGGTGAATTTGTTATTCGGGTATGTTATGTTCTGTACTTATCTTTCGTTTCTTATGTTTCACTTATCCAGTCAGGGCTCTCTGAGGGTATAAGACATATACTGCTCAATTCTGTGGTTCCCAAGTCAGTTTATTCTTCCATGAAATCCTCACCTCCCCTGTAACCTTTTCCCATCACTCTTCTGGGTTGAATTCGCCAGTTCATTCACCTGAATTTTTTTCCCTTTCTCCTGATGATTGTTGCTTTTTCACGTTTTCTTCTCATCAGATCCATCACCTTACCATGTCCCTTGGCTTAAAATTCTATCTTCCCTTTGGGAATATTATCAGCTCTGTAACTGTTTATCTGTGGTGGTGAGTATGGCATTAATTTTTCTTTTTCTTTACAGAGGCCTTTTATCACATATTTGGATCCCATTCTGTGGTGGGTGTTGCCTGGCCAAGGTATATTTAGTCTTAAATCTGCACTGTATGAAATGTGTACCTTGTAGTCTTTAGCTTCATAAATATGTTCATGGACTAACATGAGCAAAGCTGATGGGGGTCGCTGCCCATCTCTGATGATCCGTGGCATTTGATGCTCAT